AAAATAAATTAAAAACACTATGTTTATTTTTACCTACGATCACATCTAAAACATCAGTGCTCTTTTCTACTTTTAACTAAAATTAAGTCTCAAAACCTCACGAGTGTCAAACCCCTAGACCGGGAGATCCTGAAATATTTTGGGGTAAATTCAACTCCTTTTGCCCTTTAGCACCTTAACTTTTCTTGTCGTTTTCCCAACTCCCAAAGCTATTTTTTTTTTTGCGTGCCCGGATCACTCCGTCAACCAAACTAGGGGAAATTCTAGAAGTACGCTAAAAATCCCGCCTTCACGGGGGCTTAAACCCCGGACCACAGCCCCGGGGGCGGACCATACCTCGAGCCCACCACCTTAAAAAGCCTGGAGAGAAAAAGTGGTGTCCCAGTCCTATTTTGAACACCGCTTTCGTTGGTAACTGTTTGTTTTTGCCCTTCGTTTAAAACCCTTTCCTGTATTAGAATCTAATTAAAGTTACATATCAGCTGTCTATCAATACTTGAAAGAACAAGAACGCTGGGATCTCATCCTGAGACCCAGGTGAATCCTCAGTAACATTCTAGATTTTTCTGTCAGTAGCAAAAACAAAAACCTAACCTGTATAGTCAGGGGAGACTATATTGGCCATGCGGCCCTAAATCTTTAGGCTCAAAGATCCACCACACCTCGCCTACACAGCCAAAAGTTATATATACGGGCAGTAATGGCAGTTTTATACTCAGCTCATGACAAAATAACAACTAAAACACATTACATTTTTTCCCCCCTTAAAATGCCAGCCGTGTGGTGTTGGTAGTCATGATATCTACAATGTTCTGTCTCGTGTACTTTCAATAGACTTTAACACATATGATCCTCCATGCCATGACGTCAAATTGTATAGCATCTTTTCTCTCGGTCTCTCTCTGCCTCTCCTCCCCTCCAACTTTCCTACTGTCACGATGTACTCCAGTATTTCTCCTTCTCATCATATGACCGAATAATGTAGATTGTCTTTTTCTGATGTGAGAAATCAGTTCTCTTCGTGAGTCTTTTAAGACATCTTCATTACTCTTATTATCTGACTACGGTATTCTTATTATTCACTTATATAAGCAGTTTCCAACTAACTGTTCACTAATCTACCAACTGTCGATGTTTAATTTCCGTATTTCAAGATAAGATTTATATAGCTTTTAAGAATTCTCTTGCTGGTCTCAATTGTCAAAGACTGTATTATATATATATGTGTGTATATATATATATATATATATATATATATATATATATATATATATATATATATATATATATATATATATATATATATACCACTTAACAAACTCGCATTATGGAACACGAAAGACATAATGGCTAGTGTAAAAAGAATGTAGCAATACATGCAGTGAAATAATGGACTGTGTGATTTCTATATCACAACTGAAAAGATTAACTGCATCTGACATGATGCCTAGGAATATGCTTGGCAATAAGTCTCACAGATGTATATGTATGTATGTGTATATATATATATATATATATATATATATATATATATATATATATATATATATATATATATATATATATATATATATATATATATATATATATATATATATACGAACTTCTTACCCTAACTATTATGTCTTTTGTGTTCCATAATGCGAGTATGTTGAGTCGTGTCTCAGATCTAAAACATCCTGTTTACGTGGCTCTGTATATTTGTTCTGCCTTCGTTCTTTGACCATGTGGGTTACTTCGACGTGAGGTTTTTGCGGCTGTCGTGTTTTACTAGAGCGGATAGAAAACGCACTGACCAACTCTTGTAATTATTCTTTGCTTCCTCTAAGGGGGGTCTTGTAACACCCGGGTGGTTATTCTTGACTACATATGAACAAACTGAATTTTAAGATTTCGCTTTTCAAATAATTATATTTTTTTTACTTCTTGTAATCTTTAGTTAATAAATCACACACACTCACACATGCACACAAACACACACACACACACACACCCACCCACACACCCACCCACACACCCACACCCACCCACCCAAACCCTCCTCCCCCCACACGCACACACACACACACACACACACACACACACACACACACACACAAACATCTCTCAGGCTGTCTTTCTTGGCATGGATTTAAAGCCACAGTGATGTCGAGCCAATATTGCACAGCAGATCTGGCTCCAGAATATTTATTTGTGTTTTTAATTAGTGTTATTGATTAGTTCGATCACTTCAGCCAAAGTCAGAGATCAGTTTTATGACACATTGTACCATTAGCAAAACGTCTTCAACAGTTTATAGTATATTCTGAATAACTTTTCATCAGATGCGTGGCTGGTCGAGCCAGTGTGAGGACAGATTGACTTTACAAGAAGGCTAGACTAGAAACAAGCGACAGTGTGATTTCTTGATTAGTTCAAGCACTATTTTGTTCAAATTTCATGATTCCATTCCTCACTATACCAAAGGATGGGGGTGCGTCCATGACTGCATCACGTTTCTGTTTCTTTGTTGCATCACGTGTATGTTGACCAGCAGCAGAGTTTGAGCTAGGTAAGCTTTTACTTCTCACCCTCATATCTGTAGACCTGCTTTTGCCAAGACACGCGGACTGTTTCCTTTTCTCTAGCACAAAGTATGTGTGATCTCTAGTTTGTGGACGAGTAGTTGAGAGATCGTAGCAGACTGGGGTGGAATTTGGCTTACCATTATCATCGACCTCTTGTGGTTGCTTGAAGCAACCTTCATTTACTAAATACCTTTTTTCGTACAAACTAGAAGACAATCCTCCTGAGTCTGAGTGCTTTCTTTTAGTTAACTGTGGATAGGTCTTAACTGGAGGTGAGTTCCCAATAGTTTCATATGTAGAACTATTTCCATGCTCACCGTTTATCTGTGTGTTCAGAACCGTTTGAGAGGAAGCTGGTGTATTTACTGATGTCGCCTCTTTTTCAGTGCAACTAGATATGCTTTGCGTGTCCTTGTTACTTGTTACGTTCTCATATTTTGTTTTAGCGCGGTTCTCTATATGAGTACCTAAAACGCCACTTGTTTTAGTGCACAAACTCCCTTGTTTCGCATTACTATTGTTTCTTTGGTTATCTTTGTTGTTCTGTATGTCACTGTCGTCGGGCTTCTCTGCACATTTCAGTCCTCTTGGGTGTTTTTCTGAAGTTACTAAGTGCATCACTTTTCTGATGTCAGCTACGTGCTCCACTTCAACATACTGAGGCGATGTTGCTGGCTCTACTCTCTGAACAAATGGCAAGGCATCAGCCACCTAGATCACAATACATGAAACAACAATGTCGTTATTGTTTATGATTTTTACGTATTTTCTTTAAAAGATTGATAAAAGCAGTTACAAATAAATGATATACATTCATAAATAAAGATAGAACATAATTCTTGTTGTAGAGCATATGCGGAAATTAAATAGGGGTAAGACTATGGTGCTTCCTGTGACACATACTGTGAGGAAAACAGTTCACTGCAAAATTAGTTACAATACATTGAACTAGAGTAAAGGAATAAGGCGCATCGGTATATCACACTAGACCTATTTTTTTAGATCAATCTATGTTTGATAAATGATATTAACAATATCGGATCAGTAGCTTTTACTTCTCAGCAACTGCTTGGTACATTCGGAAGCACAGTTAAGTTGGTTACACATCCCTGCTTCGAAATAAATTCGAACACACGACTACTAAATCCGCAGGTGAGAGTGCTAACTGCTACATTGCGACGCCTCCATCCAGAATATTAAAGAGCCCTTTTTCACGTTGAACAAACAGTGCTTTTTTGTTGCGTATCCTTTACAGGACGTTGCAGAACCAACCCCAACAGTCCCTGGCTGTTGTGTAGTTTTTCTAGGCAACTTACGACAAGTAGTTTGCTATTGCTCCCTGGACGGTCGGCTTTCTTAATACCACTGTCGAAACCAACGCAAGGCGCATGGATCGCAGCTAGGATCAAACCCGGTATCCCGGCATTACGAAGCGTTCTCATCAACTTAGCCACAGAGCCGACACAAACAGTGCTAGACGACCTATATTTTATGGACCAAGCAGACACTCGGTGAATGCTGTCGTCAATATCGCACCGGCCGCTTTACTTTCCATGACTTTACCTGGTATCGATTTAAGGCTGGGTTGACCTGAGGGCCAAGGCTATTTCTGAAAGACGTCCGCCACCTTTCGGATTTAAACCCATGACCTTCACATCCGCAGGCGAGGGTCTAGTCGCTACACAATGGCGGATCCGTCGAGAACATTAGGGGAGATGAAAACGCAACTAGAATAGAAATGGCATGAGTAAAGAGTAGTCCTTGCGTCCTTTATGGATCAGGTTAAATCATCAGGTTATACATGGCCAATATACCCCAGCTTTCGGGAGAGGATGCTGCTTACCCCTTAAGTAAAAGGCTAATGTTCACCTATTCATACCTGGAAGTAGCCGTCTGCCAGATGTGGTCGCGCTTTTTCCACGTCTGAGGTGGACACGTACTCATAATGAGGCTGGACACTCGGGCTGGGATCACTGTACACAGATTCAGCGCCAGTAATGTGAATCTGACGGCACCTGGGGATGTAGATCATGGGTGCTATAAATTTTTTAATAGAATCCCAAATGTAATGCTTTGGAAGAGACCTAAACAAATTCAGGTGGATTTAGAGATGAGGAGAGGACGCTGGGATTAGGGTTGGACATTGACTGAGACAAAGTAAACAAAAATATAACTAGAACATCTTTTGAACTGGAACCAACAGAGTTAAAGGAATACAGTCAGACACAAATACCCATTTCCTCTCTCAAACTTTTTACCAACAGCAAACACACATGCATACACACACACACATACACACACACATACGTGCACACACAAACACACACGGAGAAGAGAAGACATAGAAATTGAAGACAAAAAGATAACGAAGACATGGGATGAGCTTTTAGCGAAACAAAATATAGAAAAAATCATAGAACGCCTTGTCAGGAGCTAGTGGAAGGTCTATGCTTCATTGAGGTAGAAAGGGGAAAACGAAGAAGGGGACAATGTTGAATATATGTTGTAAAGATACCCAGTGGTTATAATCATAATAATCACAAATGTAAAGCAAAAGAGACTTTCATGCTGTCAGCGCTTCAGGCATACAGTGCTGGACCTATAGTTGTATAGACCAATATGTTCTCAGTGGATTATATCGTCGCTTTTACTTTCTACCACATTTCCTAGTATCCGTTTTAGGCGTCAACTCAGAAGCCTTCTTCTTCTTCTTTGCGTTCAACGACTGTGAACTCCGGTGGAAGGTTCTGGTTGTTTGGTTTCACTTATGACGTCAAGCCTTGTTCCAAAATGTGGGTTTTGCGTGCACATCCTTGTACAGATCTGGCATTTCTCTATGCAGACTGTTGGTTTCTTGTCACCCAGGTACTACAAATCTCTTAATTATTTTACTCCTACGACATGCGTGTTAGGCAGTGGGTCTCTTTCTTCCCCTCCAGCAATGGGATCGCGGGACCCACAGGGAGAAGTTTAGAAGCCAGTGGTAATTATAAAAAGTTTCCCATGTGAACATTTAAACCTACGATCTTGGCTACCACGGTTCCTCGCTTTAGCCATGTCCGATTCAAAGCGTATCAAATACGGAGTTCTGTTGATACAGAATACGAGAGTTACTAAGAGAAGGAAATAACAGACAAGTGAAAACGTCAGTCTCCTGTTTAAGACGCAATACTCGTATAAAATCATATTAAATATAAAAGTTTAAAAGCCGGTGAACAAGATCTAAACATAGAAACATGTGACAGGATAACATCTTGGTCATAATGTTTATTACGATAACTAACGATGCAGTTGTAATGTGACCATAACATACTGAGCTGAAAACGGGACCGGATATCCCAAGTAAGTCAGTTTAACACTACCCCCTCCCCCCGCCCGCCCCCTCCCTTTTTTTTCAACCACCACCAGTACTCCCAAAGATGACTCTACAGCTAGGTATCCAAAAACTAAGAAATCTAATCAGGGTATACAAATATAAATATGTATTTTCTTTCTCGAGCTAATTCCGAATTGATTTTTTTTTTCAGAGTGCTGACTGGATGATCTGGGCACACCTACAGAACGGGACTGTCTCGGTCACACTGAGACGTATGGTCACTCTGTGCAGTAGTCACATCTGACTCAAAAAAAAAAAAAAAAAATAAATACAGATGTTCTGCAGCGAAAGAGAAACAAACAAGAGAAGTGAAATATTTCGGCCATATTGGGGTGTGGGCGAAGTGTGGACATAACATTTTCTTTAAAATAATAATTAATGGGTTGGAGGAAGGAGGGTGGTATTATGTTAAAGGTCTACCAGCTGGAGGTAAACGTCGGTATACAAGTGGAAGGATAAGATTAAGAGATAGACCAAAAGCAGTCTGAGAGAGTGTACAAACAATGCAAGAGGTAATGTGCTTTAGATACATTGTAACCATTCTTTACTGTAAAGCCAGAACCTAACTGAACTGAGAAGATGAAATACATGAAGGAAATCACACACACATAAAATAGAACTAGCAAAGATTGCAGGACAACGAGATATAGCCTGCTTGGGGTGATCAACCGTTGCAGCAACTTACCTCACACAGATGACAATGAGGATAATGAGAAGAACAGCAGCGATGCCACCAACTATAGACAGCATAATGATGAGCACTGTAAAATATAGAAGACAGATTCAATACACCAATACTAATTTCGCCCCTAGTTTACACACACGAACACGCACTGACACAAACGCACACACTCTCTCATACCATTATAATTGCATTCGAAGTGCCATGAAGCCAGTTTTCTATACATACATTTGGACGAAATTATTATCATTGTCGAAGGCATTTAAAAAAAAAAAACTCAGAACCATGCGACAGTATTAAAATATATTTACAATTTTAAAAAAAATGGTTTTTTTCCTTAAAGAAATGCAAAGATGCCCGTAAAATCCGATTAAGAATTACAGTGGAAACTCTGTGCTTGAATGATTCCCTTTTAGAACAAATCGGTTCCGGAACAAAATTTTCGAGGGCAAGGAAGGACGACTCGGTTTCGGAACACAATCTCTGTGCCTGAATGCACTTTACAAGATGATATTAAGTCCACTCCTCTAATCCAGCACACTGGACAGAAGCGTATTCTAAATTATAATGAACTCTAGACATTAGCACCGCCTCAGTAGTGTTTTCAAATCGTCTTTGATGCAGAGTATTGTCGCGAAGTTACTTCAAAATCTTTCATTGTTGAAGCATCATCGACACACTTTTGGTGTAAGATACTATAGGACGAAGATCACACCAGAGACTTTAGTGACCACTGACTGGCCTGCGAGGCAAAGTCTCTAGATAAAACCACGGTTGAGGAGTTGACAGTCCTAATCGGACCATAGGAATGTGCTATCCCAAAAGGAACCGGAGAACTTCATAGGGAGGAGGAAAATGGGGACTGTGGTTTCGATTTTCGAATACCTTCGATTTCGGAAAAACTCATAGTTATGCATTAGGTTATAAAACCAAGCTTCTGCTGTATCAAACGAGAAATTAGAATATAAATTGCAAGGATTACACCCAAGTTTAACACACGGTAAAGTTTCTTGAGATCACATCTTCAGTATGAACACGATTTTTGAGATACGCTGAGAGTAAAACGTGTAACTTTATTCTTGTTTCGTATATAAATTTTTAATTAGTACAATATCATAAATTGTTACCATAATAAATGAAATTGAAAGCCAAGGTGAAATTTTAACTGTACACTTAATATTTTGAACAAGAGATGAAAGTCCACAAATACAATTACATGTGAATCAGAATTTAATATAAGCAATGAAAACATTAGGCAGGTACAGGCACATCTTCCTACCTCTACATTGCTCTTTTGTTAGGCTGTTTGTTGGTGATGACGAAGGCGATTGTGGTAAAAAATGGTCAAAGTAGTGGTTATTATGATGATGAAATTGTTGATAATGGTGGTGGTGGTGGTGATGAGATAGTGATGATGATGTTGATAAGATGGGGATAAAAATCATGATTTTAATGAGGGGATCTTGATGATGACGATGCTGTTAATGATGACGAAACAAGGTTAATTTGACATAGTAAATACGCCGTCTACCTTCAGTATTTGAGTCTTGACTGTTTGTCCCAGAGAGATTCTTGGACCCTTTTTGTCAACAAAAGACAGGCAGAAGCAGTTAATGTACAATACACTAAATCGGGAAATATTTCAGGGAAGAGTTGCAATACTTAAAAAAAAAAAGCTCTATTGTTGTGTCGGCAGAGAACGTAGATAGAAACACTTTGAATATTGTCACTGTTATCAAATTGTGCGTTAAAAGTTTACAATGTTGGTTATACAGGCATAAATACGCGCACTAATACGTATACTGATACCTCTGTGTGTGTGTGTGTGTGTCTGTGTGTGTGTGTGTGTGTGTGTGTGTGTGTGTGTGTGTGTGTGTGTGTTTGTTGTGTGTGTGTGTGTGTGTGTGTGTGTGTGTGTGTGAGCGCGCTCGCGTGAATGTATCGTCTATTCTGAATTCCCTCTCGCTCTATTTCTTTGACAGCTAAAATAGCCGGTTGTTAACAAACGTAAACTGTTCTGCACTTGAAATTCGCGATGAGCTGCATTTTTTAAGCTTTTAGACCATTTTGTTAACTGTTCTGGGTGTGCTTTAGTATACTTCGGTATTCACCACTGGGTGGTGAATTGATACACGACAAGGCAGGTGTGGTCAAGGCCCTTTGGGAACAAACAACGGAATCAGTACAGAAACAAGATTATTATGGCCTGCAGAGAATAAGGCACCTGGGTGTAACCAGAGGGTCTGGCTGATTCACTACATTCAGAGGAAAAGCAAGACGGACATATAACCAGATAGTGATCGGTATTGTCAGTATTGGAACTCTGCGCTGGCTGTTGAAGATGAGGACGGAGAACGCATGGGAATACCCCGAGTGCTGTGATGTCAATTCTTGACTTAGATCAATTCAGCTTTGGTAAAACTAAATTTCTTTGTTTGTTCAAAGTCTGTCATCGCAACATCGGTTAGCATTACCTCGACTTATAGACTAAAATAGCAGTTACCAAGGCAACAAGAATAGTTGCAAATTTGTTTGGTTTGTTTGTGTGTTTGTTTACGTTGACCATCTGTAAACTGTATCGGAAAATCTTGCATTGTTGTCTATTTCTGGCTTGTTTCAAGGACATGAGTTTATCATGTACATCCCGTTCACAGATCTTATTTGTGTGCAGTCTGTTGTTTCTTGCCGATCAAGCAGACGCACTCCGACTTCGAAGGGTTTGGGCTGGGTATTTATTCTGGCTGCCATATGATCGTCATGCCTTTTCCAGCCGGCAATAATACATTTATGTTGCTTAAATCAAAGTCTTACTGATGTTATCTACCCACGTTAACATCGTTTATGTGTAGCACATAATAAACCGTTGCACATTTCTTGTTTAGCCTATTATAATTAATTAGCTGTTTTTGCACAATAATATTTAATCAAGTCATAACTTTTGTTTTTACCTGGTCCATAGTTCACATCATGGCTTAGAAATGGGCAATGCGCATGTTTAGAAAATGTTGAAATCTGGTCTTTGTGCAATACTGGGGGGAAAATAAATCATAGCAATAAATAGATCATGTGATAAAGGGAGTCTTTAATGTGATTATAGGTCATTCCTGTCATATGTGTGTCAATCATGGGCAGTCATCATATAAAGCAAAAAATTATGCAGTTTGCATGCAAATTGTTTTAGAATTGTTTAAAGATGTTTAAAACTGGAAAGATGAAGTACGTAATGTACAAGTCTTGAAAGAGATTAGTTCACAATAGGAATTGATTACTCGAATCGAGAACGGATAGACACATTCTTTGAAAAAGTAATAAGAAATTGGGAGGAGGGATTCGAGTACGTGGTGCAAAGAAGGAAAGCTGCAAGAAAGGGATGTCATGAGAGTAAACAACTGGAGTACACAGTTACATCAGGAAAAATGGAAGGGGGAAAAAAGAGAGGTTATGAGAGGAGACAACTGGAGTACTCAGTTTCATCAGGAAAGTTTGAAGGAAAAAAGGGAGACATGAGAGGAGAGAACAGCAGTACAAGGTTACACCAGGAAAGTTAAACGGGAAGAGAGAGAGGTCATGAGAGGAAACAACTGGAAGACGCGGTTACACCAGTAAAGTTGGAGAGGAAGAAAGAGAGGTTATGAAAGAAAACAACTGGAGTACATAGTTATACCACGAAACTTGGAAGGGAAGTAAAGGAGGTGATGACAGAAAACAACTGTAGTAGACGGTTACACCATAAAACCTAGAAGTGAAGAAAGAGAGGTCATGAGAGGAAACAACTGGAGTACAAGAGACAACTGGAGTAAACAGTTACATCAGGAAAGTTGGAAGGGAAGTAAAGGAGGTGATGACAGAAAACAACTGTAGTAGATGGTTACACCAGAAAAGTTAGAAGTAAAGAAAGAGAGGTCATGAGAGGGAACAACTGGAGTACGGGAGACAACTGGAGTACGGGAGACAACTGGGGTACAGGAGACAACTGGAGTATACAGTTACACCGGGAAAGTTGGAAGGACAGAAAGGGAAGCATGGGAGGAGACAAGTAGATTAGGCAGTTACACCGGGTGAGCTGCATGGAAAAGGAGACAGATGGAGACTAATACACGGGATATTAGAAAGCATCGGATAACGGCATAGTGAGACATCTGTATCAGAAGATTGTGGCATTACATGAGACAGAGCAGCACACAGCTAACACAATAGGAAGACGATAATTTAATTAACAGTGATTAAAAAGATTAAAGGTAGGGGAAAGACAACTTGCACAAAACATACAACTCGAACTTTTCAACCTAGGTCTTTCTCGACATTAACTAACTATGCAACAATAACAAAGGAGAAAGTACTTCAATCACCAGTTGGCCACGTGAAAAACTATAAAATGGTGATGTGGAATTGATAAAATAAAATAGTATAATTTAAGCCTGGAAAATAGTCATAAACACGAAATAGAGATAATATATAACAGTAGTAGGAATAGAAGGCTAGTAGGAATGAAAGGTTAATTATTCATAATTGGTATTATAAGCGATAAAATAAAATAATAAAATGTAATAAAATAAAATAATACAAAAAAACAAAAAATAATACAATTAAATTTAAAAAATACAAAATATCAAGAAACTGATGATAGTAAAACTGTTCAGATGAAGGTATGCGGAACATTGAAACTTCCTGAGCTTAGAACACCTAGACTTTGGATGAGCTTTTTTCTAAAAGAGAGACGCATGATATGAGTTCCAGAGAAAAATTTTAACGCCGGTGGTTGGAGTACTTTCCCCTTTTGTTTTTGTTGTGTAGTTAGTTTATGTCGAGTCAAGAAAGGCCCCGGCAGGAGCGTTGATTTGTCTGTGCACATTGTTCTCTTCCCCACTTTCGTTAGGCTTTTAAGGTACAGTTCATTGGATTAATTTCTTGGTCTCCCTATGTTGAATGCAGTCATTCCCTGTTTTTACCACAGTAAGAAGAAGAAGAATAGCACACTAATGCCAGGTAGCAATTTCTTTTCTCGTCGTCCTTTATTCCTTGATTCTAACAAATTTTCTGCAAAATCACAGATTTTAATTTGTAGAGTATAATTTAGAGCTGTACTGGTTGGGAAGGGAGAGTATCATGCTACTGTGGGAGATCAACGCGCACTATGGCTGTTCTAAACGCGAATTCTACCTAACGCCGGAGCGTCCTTTTTTTATAAATTATGAAATTGTGCAGTTTTCTTTGTCTAAAACAAGAAAGTAGATATAGCTGCAAGCATGAACATAATGTTAAAACGATAAAGTAGATTTAGCTGATTGCATAAACATAATGTTAAAACGATAAAGTAGATGTAACTGATAGCATAAACATAATGTTAAACCGATAAAGTAGATGTAACTAATAACATAAACATAATGTTAAAACGATAAAGTAGATATGGTGCAAGCATGAACATAATGTTAAAACGATAAAGTAGATATAGGTGCAAGCATGAACATAATGTTAAAACGATAAAGTAGATATAGGTGCAAGCATGAACATAATGTTAGAACGATAAAGTAGATATAGGTGCAAGCATGAACATAATGTTAAAACGATAAAGTAGATATAGGTGCAAGCATGAACATAATGTTAAAACGATAAAGTAGATATAGGTGCAAGCATGAACATAATGTTAAAACGATAAAGTAGATATAGGTGCAAGCATGAACATAATGTTAAAACGATAAAGTAGATATAGGTTCAAGCATGAACATAATGTTAGAACGATAAAGTAGATATAGGTGCAAGCATGAACATAATGTTAAAACGATAAAGTAGATATAACTGCAAGCATAAACATAATGTTAAAACGAGAAATTACTCCAGGTGAACGTCAATATTATAATCATCAAGTGCCTTGCCGACGAGAATATGCGGTCAATCTACTCCACAACTTGTAATCTTTACCAGTATGTAACTACTCATCTGCTAACGCCCTTTCATGCCATAACAAAGGGCTGTCAAGTCGCTGTAATGCTTCATTCTCCTTTTCATAAATGTTTCTAGTTTTTATACGTTAACATTAGTACCTATTTCAGCCATTGCGATCATTGTAAGTTTTGTATTTGTTGTCAAAAATCTATTTCATATTTCTTTATTTTGCTTCACTTATTGTAGTCCATGAAATCACTGCAGTTCATCTTTTATGCATGCTACAAAGCGCTAGAGAATTTTAACATTTATTGCTTTAACTGCCCTTTATTACAGCCTGTAGCAAGGGATATAAAACACATACTGCAGTTTATCATTGATACGTGCTACATAGCATTGCAGAGTTCTTACATCCGTTGATTTAATTAAATATTTGGTCCTGCATTACAGCCCTAGCACGGAATATAAAACCCATACCGGAGTACATCGTTGATACGAGCTACAAAGCATTGCTGAGTTCTTACATCCGTTACCTTCATTAGGCTGTAGCACGGCTAATAAAACAATGTCTACATCTAACTGATATGTAAATGTTCTTATTTCCAGAATTTGTTCTCAGCAGCACTGAAAGTTATTTTACAGGTATTTTAGTTTTTTTCTAGATAAAAAACAAAATACCATTTAAAAACAAAATAAAAATAAATATAAAATGTCACTATTTTATAACAAGTAGGCATATTCTTAAGACTGTAAATTAAATATTAAGTTCTCACCGCAAAAAGACAACCAGTATCTGACTTCATTTCTCCTATGTGATGGCGTAAACCGGATTTCTGTATTGCCACACTTCGCCAGACTAGTAAGATTAACTTTTCCACATAAGGAAGTCTCCTCTTCGGTGCCTCTTTGACAGGAAGCACCGGTTACCACAAGTGTTCCCTCGCAGTTGTTTTGGCGGTTTCTGGGACTATATGTAGAAGAAAAAAGTTTTATTCTCTAAACCAAGCATGTCAAACTGAAAGTTCCGCGAAGGCCATATGTCACATTTGTATTACCCACGAGGACCACCCACGTCAACTAATTGATTTAATTTAATACCACTTTTTGCTTTCAAAAGGCTGCATGATTTGACATGGCTGCTCTTAACTGTCATAGTTTCAGTAAATTATGGACAGTTAGCTGATTACAGAAAAACAACTTTGGTTTAAAAGACGATAATGAAAACACCATAGACAGACACAAATTGTAATGCGGGTGTCTTGAAGGAAATTAATTCACTTAGAGAAATTGATTACACGCATCAAGTGGAGACGATTCATAGGCAAAAAGTCAAGCATGAGGAGGAAAATACTGGAGTATAAAGTGACAGTGAGAAATTGGGAGTGGGAAAGCTATATAGGGAGACAAATAGGGAAAATGTTGGACGGTTCGACATCATGGCAAGGAAGGTCGTCTATGCGAGACATGTTCAAAGCAACACAGTATGCATTATAAGGAAAGATAGAAACTTTAATTCCCTCCACATGGTAAGGATGGTGATGTAAAATGTTCGGTCTCTTAATTTCACTGAATCAGACTCCCTGAGCATTACACTGCATCTAGAATGCTGTCAAATATAACCATTTGCTTGGCCGCAATTACCATTAATTAAATAAAAACATATACGTTGCAACCAATAATTCTTTATCTTTAAATCCCCAACCCGTGGAAACAGACCACACACACACGCTCTCCCACAAATGTAGTAAATGAGTTTCCCATAGCTGCGGTTAATAATATTCTCTTAAAGATAAACGAACCCCGCTCGCTCGACAAGCAGAGCAGTTCTACTTATACTCTTCAGGAACACAGTTCGCTCGCACTCATGTCATCTGCTAATTCAACATAAACCCTTCCCGTTCATGCCTCTTCAGGCCCGGCTCTCTAGCATAGTTGACTAAATCTGATTGCACGGTGACCGGTGACGAACTCCTTGTGGTCCGGGTTCACTCCCGGGGGAGGCAGAAAAGCCACATTTTCTTCCAGATTTACGGAATTTACAATGGAATCAAGGCCGAAAGGTTGCGATATCCACAATACCGAGCCTAAGGGTTAACAAATCATGGCTTCTGGATACTAAAACAAACAACAAACATGCCTCTTCAACCGACCTTGTCACTCTTCTTTTGCAACCACACAGCTGATGTGTTTGTGCATGCGTACGCTGTCATCCACGTGCCCGGATTAAATTCCCAACCCACCCCCCCCCCTTTTTTTTTCAATGCTTGACTATTTTGGTTACAAAATCACGCATTGCTACTCCTTAAACCTATTACTGAAAAGCAAAATAAATGTGAGATGTATATTAACGGAGGAGACATCATAGAAAAGTTACACTGATATTCTAGACATGGAAAGCAGAGGGGGAAAGCGAGGGAGACACAGAGAGAGAAACAGAGAGAGAGAGAGAGAGAGAGAGAGAGAGAGAGAGAGAGAGAGAGAGAGAGAGAGAGAGACGCATGTGAAAACCTAAACGAATTCGCCACTAGAAATAGTATAATTACAATCAAATGTATCCGGATTTGTGTGGCGTGGGAGAGATTAGAATCAAGATCGTCAGTATCTGCTCCAGGCCACCAAACCAGGAGCCTAAAGCTCCTTTGGTTAAACTATAGCCTTGTGGCGTGATGCTGACCACCCCCCCCCCCCCTTACCTTAATCCGAGTGTTCTATAAAATATAGGTCTAGTCCTATATGCCCAATACGCCTGAGAGCCTGGAAAAGGGTCCTTTACTTGTGTCGATTTAAGATAGAGGGCTATGACTGAAGGACTTTGCGACAGTACGTCCACACTGATGCAAAGAATAAGACACTTGGAGGGAAAGATCGGCCCAGCCAAGTATACAAGGCATATGAGAGATACTGTCAGCTAGAATAGGGTTGTCATTATTAGTCAAATAATAAATATGTTGATGAGATCATCTATCTGGAGGGCAATCACGATGACTCCACTCATCACTCACATTAGCTTACAACAGTTCGGAGAAAATGCTTGGAGTCGCTGAGGAATTCTCGTCTGAAAGTAATTAGTTTTATTTTTGTTAAAGGACAATCTGGGGTAAGAGGAAATGAACGAGCGGATTAGCTTGCTGTCATGGCAACTGTAGGTACATGAAAAGGAATTGGCCGGGCCGAAATTCCCAATGCTCTTAAGAAGGCAGGAGGAGGAGATGATTCCGTAAACGACGTTGAATCGGCAACACTCAAAAGACTACAAAAACTTCAGGTCAAAAGAAATGTTGCCAAACATTAAAACGATACAGGCAGCCAGAGAAAAGAAAGTAAACCAAATCGTAAGTGGTGTTATTTGTAGCTACATGCTGAAGAATATACTGAAGATGGGGTCCGAGCGCTTACGGAGTTGTCCGATGTGCAGTAAGTATAATCTGTCGACAAACTAACTAACTAACATCAACATACAACTTGACTTAGCAAATATGTACATGTCTTACGTGGTAACAAAATCATGCAGAGAAATAATCACAACTTTGTCGACTGGCACGGCAATAGTCCAGCTGCAAGAAACATCAGTGAAAGAGCCGGCAGGGTAGCCTGGACTTTGGATATATCCGAAAACGTCAGTCACTGTGGCAGGTTGGCTGTTACATGAGCTAGACCGAATGTATGCCTCTGGGGATTATAGAGCATTTTATGTGAATGCAGTCTATAAGACAGTAAGTAAGTAAAGTAAAGTAAAGTTCCCTTTTCACGCCTTTCGGCGCATCGGGCATAAGGGCAGAGCGTCCCATATTTTTACAGACCATCAGCACAGTGCAGTAATAATAAGTTTAAGTTTTGTTTAGCCTTTCGTGTTCTTTTCTATCATGGGCACGTAATAACAGATTATGGCAGACGGGAAGCAGAAATTAAAAAGAATATGAACTGCTAAAACTTTCTTTAATAAGATGCCAGCATTGTTGCAGTTAGAGTGATAAACAGCACATAGAAAATTTGAAATCATCAGATATTATATATCCTCAAGTCGTATGCATGGTGGAGACACCTGAATAAAAAAAAAAAAGCAGCTAGAAAAGTCGAAACAAGTCTCTGGAAGTGTGGATATTCAGAAGAATAGATCTTATTTCATGGAAACAAAACGGTCAAATACAGAAAATTACTAAAGGTAAAGAAAGTTACTAAAAGATTTTTTTTCCTAAGAAACAATTGAAATATTTTTGTCAAATTAAACTGCAGCCAATCTTTATGAGGGAGACATCAGCTGACTGATTGACTGATTTGTTGCAATGAAGCAGTGATAACTGAAGGTATCTTTCTGCTCTTTTTAGTTAGTTACAGCTGCAAACATTGCAGTGAAATAACCAGGGGTCTGGATGAGAACATGGTCCCTAATCTCCCATGATACATATATGTTCACTTCCTCCTGACCAGACCTAGGTTAGAAATCGTAGCCGTAATCAGAGCATTTGTTTTACATTTATCACAGAGAAAACAGAAATATGCAGTGGGTCGTTTCGTTGGCACCTTTCAGTCTTTCCAGATGATAGTTTTATACTGTTCTACAAGGATGGCATAAGAATAGCTAATCATAGGTACGGCAAGATGACTAGTAGTAGCAGTAGTAGTAGTAGTAGTAGTAGTAGTATGGTGGTAGTAGTAGTAGTAGTAGTAGTAGTAGTAGTAGTAGTAGTAGTAGTAGTAGTAGTAGTAGTAGTAGTAGTAGTAGTAGTAGTAGTAGTAGTAGTAGTAGTAGTAGTAGTAGTAGTAGTAGTAGTAGTAGTAGTAGTAGTAGTAGTAGTAGTAGTAGTAGTAGTAGTAGTAGTAGTAGTAGTAGTAGTAGTAGTAGTAGTAGTAGTAGTAGTAGTAGTAGTAGTAGTAGTAGTAGTAGTAGTAGTAGTAGTAGTAGTAGTAGTAGTAGTAGTAGTAGTAGTAGTAGTAGTAGTAGTAGTAGTAGTAGTAGTAGTAGTAGTAGTAGTAGTAGTAGTAGTAGTAGTAGTAGTAGTAGTAGTAGTAGTAGTAGTAGTAGTAGTAGTAGTAGTAGTAGTAGTAGTAGTAGTAGTAGTAGTAGTAGTAGTAGTAGTAGTAGTAGTAGTAGTAGTAGTGGTTTTACCCCACATGACATTACACAAGTGATAAACACCCGATGACACAAAGTGCCACCATTGGATGAGGTTCACCCGTGGAAAGGTCCCAGAAACCGTGTTCAGCCATTAGGCCAAATTTATAGCCGTGCTGTATTGCGGCCCCTAGTAAGAGCCAGAGTAGGGCTTCAGAATAACGAAAAATTGCATACCACAAGGGGATGACTAAGGACCGGCACTCCATAGCACAGTACGTGGACATTATTGTAAAGACCACATACTGAACATGAAGCTCTCTCTCTCTCTCTCTCTCTCTCTCTCTCTCTCTCTCTCTCTCTCTCTCTCTCTCTCTCTCTCTCTCTCCCTGTATTGTTTCTACGGTGGTAAACAAAGGTGTTAATGCGTAATCAGATAAACTAATTCAATTCATGTTGTATACATTTACAAATAAATAAGAGTTGAGCATCATATGTTCAAATTATTTAACTTTTTTTAAAATATAGACGATGCGTCAGGACATTGCAGGCTGCAGCAACAGTCAGGGTGTGGTTGCACCATGCCATCTCATGTTTGCCTATAATACTCTACAGAACTGACGACCTACATCGAAGGGAGATAATCTATATTATTTGGTCATGTGAAGAAAATAAAACGAGTACATCGTGACAGTAGCAAAGTTGCAGGGGGAAGAGAGAGAGAGAGAGAGAGAGAGAGAGAGAGAGAGAGAGAGAGAGAGAGAGAGAGAGAGAGAGAGAGAGAGAGAGAGAGACCGAGAAAGAAGATCCTAAACAGTTTGACATCACTGCATGGAAGATCATCTGTGTCAGAGTTGATTGAAAGTACAGGAGCGAGAAGGTTGTCGATAGACATGACTACCACACACCACATAGTGTGGACTTCAAGAACAAAAATAAGTGTAATGTCTAGTTTCTGAACCAAGAGTTAAATTATTTATCAGAGCTACGAAAGACGTGCAGAAAAAAACTTACTATCAACACACACATAGTGCACAGTTAATGGGCGCAGCTTTGATTTCTCACAGACTCTCCATGGATCACATACGGCTTTGCCCATACAGTCCCGCCTCAAGTTCTCAAAACTGGACACGTCCATTTCCTTCAGCTGGTTGGTAATGTTAGTTATTAACATCACAGATGCATTGCAAGCGAAGGTTTCCCCGTTCTGACGACAAACTCGATAGGTTTCCATCACAGGGGGTTCTGAAAAGTAATCATTATTTTCAAAAACACATTGACACCGATAATTATTGGAGCTTGCACAGGAGCTGGGAACCCGGGATGATCTTGTCACTTGGTGTGGGTGCCGCGGGGTGGCTGAGCGGGAAGCGCAGTGTGGTGTGTGTAGCATGTGGTGATGATAATGACGATGACAATGATGATGGTTATGGCGATGATGAGGATGTTAGTAAAAATATGAATCTTATTTCAGTCAATAATTCAAAAGAATAGAGAGGGGCTGAGTACGATGGAGCAGAGCATGAAAGAACTGCATAACAACAGTAGTTTATTTATATTATGAAAGTCAATCTATAAAGGTCCATAGCAACTCAGCCAGGAAGTAAATCATCTAAACCTAATGTTACTTATAGGTTGTTAAAAAGTGAGTTGCGTATCCTTTACAGGACATTGAAGAACCAACCCTAGCATTTTATTTTTGTTTTGCTTTTGGGGTTTTGTCTAGGCACATTTACGTCCAGTAGTTTGCCGTTGCTTTCCTAAAGGTTGATACTCGCTTTATAATTGTCTTTCATTTGAACTACTTGATTTACTTTAAAGTGTTGTACAAAACTTTGCAAAATGGGTGATGAGTAAACTTAATAAATGATTTTCCCGTAGGTTGTAGTTTGCCAACTCAGCAGATTATACGTATAAAACCGGGTGATGTTTACATTTTAAAGGGAAGAGAGAGAAAGTGATATAAAACGAGAGAGAGGGAGAGAGAGAGAGAGAGAGAGAGAGAGAGAGAGAGAGAGAGACGAGAATAATAATAGTTAACGGATGTGTGAGAAGATCAAAAGTTCTCCTACGTGGGAAGTATTGCAATAGGTCTACACCCCAGACGATCAGGTAATAGTCAGTGTAGGTATAAAAATGAGAATCTGTAGCATCTGTAGGAAGAGTGGTATAAAAACTATAATAACCAACAATGAATGGTACAACACCTAGGTAAGCTCAACAAACAATGAAATGAAACTAACAATAATGTTTATTCTCGTAGAAGAACTACACCAGCCAAGGTAACCTATTCAAACACTAATCGCATATCAATACTTGGATAGTCAACTGCAAATAACCAACACACTAATACCCACTCGCTATAAACTCCTTTACCAGTCGTTCTCAACTTTTCTAATACCGCGACCCTTTAATACAGTTCCTAATGACGTCCCCAAACATACAATTACTTATTTATTTAATGAATACGTATTTTCCAATGGTCTTAGGTGACCCCTGTGAAAAGGTTGTTCGACCCAAAAAAAGGGGTCGCGACCCACAGGTTGAGAACCACTGCCCTAGAACGTCCTGCCTAGCTACGGACCAGCCAGCTCTTAACCACAGCCTACAAACTATTAGCAAACCCATCTAAATCTGATAGGCACTGCTAGTTTCAAAACTGGGGTCGGCTGATATGACATTGTTGGCTTGTGGGTTTAGTCTGTTTTGTGTTTGTGTGTGTGTGTGTGTGTGTGTGTGTGTGTGATGTGTGTGTGATGTGTGTGTGTGTGTGTGTGTGTGTGTGTGTATAAAGACTATTCAAAACATTTTGTTATATGTATGGGAGAGCCTTCCTTTCCCTCTTTCGAGCTTTCTATCCCTCTTTTGAACTTTCTAGTCATTTAGTAAATTATGTTTGCTGCTTATTAGCTGTACCTGCTCACATAAACCACTGTCCCGATGTTTACATATTTCCGCTTCTCATTATATGACTTACACTTCCCATGCTTTATCTCCTACTTTTGTCATTTATCCCCAAATGGAGCATTGGACCTCAACCAACTCAAGCAACATCGTCGGATCCTTTGCTGCCATGTGCAGCTCATAACATATCTATCTTACCTTTCTTTTCTTTTTTATTCTTTTTTATTTCACCCTATAGCTCCCTTCTACTTGTGCCTGTGTGTGTGTGTGTTTGGGTCTGCATTTATGTATATGATCCTGTGGGGTCCATTGTATAGACATTCTAGTTATATTGTTCTCATGTCTTTTTAACGTGTGTCCTGGCCAATGCCAGTGAAAGTCGTAAACTTATTACAACAATTAGAGATAGGCAGTCAATATTTTCTAGACATGTTATGAGAAGGTATGGCCTTGAGAACTTGGTAAGAGTTGGCAAAATTAACGGACAGAGAGAAAGAACAAGGCAAAAAGACTAATACCTGGATGTCCTGGTCAAAGGAAGGAAGCGCGACCCAAAAAAAAAACATTGAACTGATCTGTGATTCTGGTGGTTGTGTGAGATGGCGAGACACGACGGCCTACGCTTGCAGACACGGCACATGGTGATGATGATGATGTTAACTTGACCTACTCAGATGCACCACTGTCACGATATTTACTTAATATATTTCTAGCTTTCCGCTTCCTTTAGATGACTCACACGTCCGCCTGTGCTACGTTTGTGTCTTCTGTGTTGAAGTATGCTAGCAGAATGTGTTCTTATATCCAGCCTAGTAATGTGCATGTGTCGGCGTCTGTGGCTGGGGCGTTGCGCACGCCCTCCGTAATGCCGGGGAGCCGGGTTCGATTCCAGCTGCGGACACTGTCTTGCATTAGTTTCGACAGTGGTACCGAAAGCTGGCAGTTCAGTAGCAATGGCAAACTTCTGAAAGTAAAATTTACCTAGAAAAATCACAACAGCCAAAAAAATGCTGGAGTTGGTTCTGCAACGTCCTGTAAAGGATACGCAACTAACACAAACATAAATGTGCATGTTCGCTAGTAATTTAGCTTGCTTCTCACAGAACTTGATAGTAGTAGAGTGTTGCTGTGGTGTAGAGGCTAGACGCTTGTCTGTGGATCGGAAGGTCGTGGGTTCGGGTCATAACATAGCCGGAAATTTTTTTTTCTTCAAATGACTTTGACTCCCAGATCGAACAGCTTTGAATGGGTACCAGGTACAAACCATGAGAAGTAAAGGCGGCCGACGTGGTGCTGACCACATCACCCATCAAGTGCCGACTGGTCTACAAAACATAGGTCTAGCCCTATATGCTCAATACGTCTGGCGGCGGGGAAAAGGAGTCCTTTACCTAGTCGCGGTGTTCTGGCAAAGTGTGCGTGTGTTTGTTGGTATTGTGTATGCTCTGTTTGTATGTCTATCTGAGACAAGCTCTGAGTGTTTGTCTGAGATATGTTCTGTATGTTCGGTGTTGAAATATGCTAGCAGGTATGTTTTGTTATAATGTCCTAGTAACATGGATGTCCGCTCGTAGCTGAACCTTTGAGTTTCTCACAGGACTTGATCACGACGATCTGGCAAAGTCTGTCTGTGTTGGTCTGTCTGTGTCTGTGTTTAGGGTACACTTCATTTAGCAATATACTGTATATCTTTTGGGTATGTTAAATATGTTAGTATCTATCTATCTATCTATCTATCTATCTATCTATCTATCTATCTATCTATCTATCTATCTATCTATCTATCTATCTATCTATCTATCTATCTATCTATCTATCTATCTATCTATCTATCTATCTATCTATCTATCTATCTATCTATCTATCTATCTATCTATCTATCTATCTATCTATCTATCTATCTATCTATCTATCTATCTATCTATCTATCTATCTATCTATCTATCTATCTCTCTCTCTCTCTCTCTCTCTCTGTCTGTCTGTCTGTCTGTCTGTCTGTCTGTCTGTCTGTCTGTCTGTCTGTCTGTCTGTCTGTCTGTCTGTCTGTCTGTCTGTCTGTCTGTCTGTCTGTCTGTCTGTCTGTCTGTCTGTCTGTCTGTCTGTCTGTCTGTCTGTCTGTCTGTCTGTCTGTCTGTCTGTCTGTCTGTCTGTCTGTCTGTCTGTCTGTCTGTCTGTCTGTCTGTCTGTCTGTCTAATCTGTCTGTCTGTCTGTCTGTCTGTCTGTCTGTCTGTCTGTCTGTCTGTCTGTCTGTCTGTCTGTCTGTCTGTCTGTCTGTCTGTCTGTCTGTCTGTCTGTCTGTCTGTCTGTCTGTCTGTCTGTCTGTCTGTCTGTCTGTCTGTCTGTCTCTCTGTCTCTCTGTCTGTCGGTCGGTCGGTCTGTCAGTCGGTCGGTCTTTTTGTGTATCTGTCTGTCTGTCTGTCTGTCTATTTCTCAGTCTGTTTGTCTCTCTCTCTCTCTCTCTCTGTGTCTGTCTGTCTCTCTGTCTGTCTTAGTCAGTCTATTTGTCGGTCTGTCTGTCTAATCTGTCTGTATAAGAAACAGTTATTTTAAAAAAATACATTAATTTTAATAAACCCTTGACAATTTTGTAAACTAAAATAAAATATATTGCCATAGATATACTTCTGGATATACAGACTGAACGTATGTATGATTGATACACTTCTAAAATGTAACTTTTTTAATAATTGGCAGTCAAATGTGAAGATTACAGTTATCAGGAGCATATAACTTGCTCGAGATTACTATAGTCGATAGTAGACTCGCTTTCAAATCCAGCTGCGACTGGCTGCAGCCCACGACCGATGTTCTAAACCAATCGGTTCCCGGGGTTCACCCAGCCCCTAGGAAATGGGTACCAGAGTTAACACTCTGTGGTAATTGGAAGAACGTCGCTGTAGCTACGGAGTTGCGTGCGGACAGGGACACAGGCGGACAGTTTCTTATCAGCTATCAGTACTGGTAGCAGAGCACTTATTGTTTATAACTCTGTGCAATGACGCTGGTTCACATCTCCCGACTTAACATTTTAGTTAACTACCTGGGTAAATCTCCCGTTATTCTCTAACATTTTTGATGAATCCTTTGCGACAAAGGCTCTCAACCTGCCGGTCGCGACAAATTCATTAGAAAAGACATGTTCATTGAAGTAATGTTGGAAAATAATTGTTTGGAGATCCCCACAACACGAGCGAACTTTATTAGAGGGTCGCGGTATCAGGAAGGTTGAGAGCCACTTCTTTACGACCTTCTGGCCTAGTTTGATTGGGTGGAGGAAAGCGAAGCTTTATTTTTAATGGGTCGAGTATTTATTAGCTGGTCAAAGTTCAGGTGAAACTTATCGGTCAGTGATCGAATCTCCTTGGCTGGACTTTGTTTAAACTGAATCAGGCTTCAAGAAACATCTAGCCTCAACGTTGGTAGCAAGATTCCTTTTCCACGCCTTTAGGCGTAATTTGGAATAAAGGGCTAGACCTATATTTTTACAGCCCAATTAGCACTTGGTGGGTGATGTGGTCAGCTTCACGCCAGCCGCTTTTACTTTCCAGGACTGCACCTGGTACCCACTCAACCTGGGTATCAGTAAATGTATTTTTCTGGGAGGGTGAGGGGGTGAGTAAAGGCGGCCAGTGTGGCGATGACCTTCGCTCCAACGCAGACCTAATCAAAAATAAGTAGAAGTATATTTTATGGGAAGTAACGGCCGACAGTATGATATTAATTTCATCCATCGAGTCCTGACTGGTAATATATATATATATATATATATATATATATATATATATATATATATATATATAGAGAGAGAGAGAGAGAGAGAGAGAGAGAGAGAGAGAGAGAGAGAGAGAGAGAGAGAGAGAGAGAGAGAGACATAATATTTGTTTCTCTCTCATTTCGCTGCATTTATTTCCACTTCAGCCTTTGTATATCTGTCAGTCTGCCGGTCTGTGTATGTATCTCCTAAACACACACACACACACTTACACACACACACATCCTTACCTTCGGAACTAGTCAAAACCACCATCACTGCAGTGATTAAATAAACCAGGCAGATCACCATGACGTCACAGAAGACGATCCTGCATTATCCTCATCAACCCAACGTTTCAGAGCCCAGCCATGAGTGTTGATAATTCCACAGGCTGCTGTTCCTGTGGAAGAAACAATTGAGCAGTGGCATCACTGTAAACTATAATCAACTATAAACAGACACTGTAATCACTGGCACCATAACGTTTTTTTCTAACGATTTTACTACCGTGCTTTCCTGAAAAGAAGGCCTAAACCCCCCCCCTCCCCCTCCCCCCCCCCTTTTTTTTTCCCCCAAAAGCATCTTGATTTTCAGAATAACCACGAGCCCTACCCCCCTATATAGGCCCGAGTACAGGTCGTCACCCAGACTGACGGATTTTGTGATTCATTTGAAACCACGACAACAGTAACATCGCCAGACGTACAAACACTACAATAATAGCAAGTTTAAGTTCTTTAAAATGCGAAAAGTTAGCCAAGTTTACAAATGCTCGATGATGTAGGAAGTGTCGGCAGAAAGGCACACATAAACAGGCGAAAAGCAATTATGTCACTCGGATAAACACAAATAAGAAGAAAAAAAAAGAAGAAAAATAAGAAGAAGAAGAAAGAATGAAAGAATGAATGAAAGAAAGAAAGAATGAAAGAATGAAAGAAAGAAAGAGAGAAAGAAAGAAAGAAAGAAAGAAAGAAAGAAAGAAAGAAAGAAAGAAAGAAAGAAAGAAAGAAAGAAAGAAAGAAAGAAAGAAAGAAAGAAAGAAAGAAAGAAAGAAGAAAGAAAGAAAGAAAGAAAGAAAGAAAGAAAGAAAGAAAAAAGAAAAGAAAGAAAGAAAGAAGAAGACAGACAGACAGACAGAAAGAAAGAAAGAAAGAAAGAAAGAAAGAAAGAAAGAAAGAAAGAAAGAAAGAAAGAAAGAAAGAAAGAAAGAAAGAAAGAAAGAGAAAGAAAGAAAGAAATTAGAAGAAGACGAAGAACAACAACAACAACAACAACAACAAACAGCATCAGCAGTATTCTAAGTGACATAGGCCATCAGGATCAGGAGGGAGTGGGAGAAAAAAAAACATAACGTTATAAAGTGTCATAAATACAGACGAAGGCAGCGCCAGACATTAGTCCTGCCATTTTCATGTTTATTAAGTGTCGTCCTTCCTGTCTGACCTACATTCATTACTGTAAGCCCTCGATTTGACGAACGATCTTGTCGGTGAATTTTTTTTTTTTTTTTAAGGTGAGGCTTAAGTCTTAAATCCGATGCATTGATATTTAAGTCCTGAAAGAGCAGTGTCTGCTTTCCTCCGAATAACGGTCCCAAATTATCGAGTATAAGAAAATACCTTAACAGGGCTCCCGTCATATGTAAATTGCGGACCTCTTTCCGGCGACTATACCGCCACCGCTGAGAGTATGGCTGGGACTCACAAGCTGCAGGAGATGCGGTAACTGCTGCTCGTAAATCCCAGCCAAGTAGTTTAGGTTTCCCCACCCCAACCCCCACCCCCAACCTCCGCGCCACGCGTAGCGGTGCGGGGGAAACTCTCGGTGGTGACTTTAACTCGGCGGAACTTTTTCAGCGGTATGCGGTAAAGTCGCCGGACAGAGGTCCGCAATTTACAAATGACTGAGGTCCTGTTAGGGTATTTTCTTGGCCTCGATAATTTGGGACCGTTATTCTGAGTATAGCCGCAGTGTCTATTGAAGTGGGGTTGGTATTAGGATTTTGCCGCCGACTAGATCTCGATGCATAACCTATGTAGAATAAGTTTCCAGATACCATCGAGTGGTGCTATAGCCAGAGGCGCCACAAAGAAAACTTTGGAGGGATGGCTAAACCTTGTTTATGTGAATAATAATAAAAATTAAAATGCGCTTAATAGGGAAAAAAATATAATAATGTATTTTCAAATAATATGATATTATAAAACAAGTTAAAAACTATCTTCAGCATACACTTGGAACAGTAGGGTGGGGGGAGGGGGGGGGGCTAAGTCCATTACAAATTAGGGTGCGGGGAACATAGTCGATTTTTGTTGATAGGGTGGGGATGCTAAAGCCGCTTAAGCCTGCGGGTTGTGTCGACCCTGGCCATTTTTGTATGGAACCTACATCTATGGAGAGTCGTGATGATCTCATAGCTTTGACAAAAACTGGGAACTAGTCTGACGTTTGATCATTTATTTTCCACTAGGTCTTGTCCAACTTTGAAACTAATTCGGTCCTGCCAACTACGAGTGTTGTTTTTAATAGAGCAGTTCTCAATCTGTGGGTCGCGACCCTTTTGGTGCTTTCTTTTTTTTTATTTTAGCCGACACAAATGACGTAACGGGACAATCCAATATTTTAGAGGTTTGTAAGAGCGGGTTTTCCGTGTTTTCTGTGCTTTTTTTTTTTTTTTTTCTTCCAAGGCCAAGGTTTTGGCGCGTTAACCTAACCCTAACCTAACCAGAACTATACGCTTACTACCCCCTGAAATATTCGACTATCCTGTAACCTGTGAATTTCCCCTGTTTGTAGTCGGCTAATAAGAAAGTACCACCCTTTTTTTGGGGGTCGAACCACCCTTTCACAGGGGTCACCTAAGACCATTGCAAAACACAAATTCAATGAAATTATGAAGTGGCGAGGAAAATATTTGTAAGGCTGGGGGTCGCCACAACATGAGGACATGTATTATAGGGTCGCGCATTAGGAAGCTTGATAGCCACTGCTTTTCATAGAACAGTATGGGGAAGGGATGCCAATTTTTTACCACTTTACAACGGTACGCCTTAGCCATCATACCCCCCCCCCCCCCCCGTATGTATAATAAAAGAGTAATAAAATATATAACTTTACAGTGTACGGAAACCCCCCCCCCCTCCCGCCCTTGTTTTTCCACTCATCTTCCAGTATATTTTAAAAAAGTGTAATAAAATACATCATTGAACAGTTTCCCCCCCCCTCCCAAATTTAATAAAATGTGTAAAAAATATATAATATACATGTATGCTGTACCATCACAATTCAGTATATGTTCTCCTTTTTTTTCTCACTCTCTGTGTGTGGTTAGTATGTGGTGCTGGTAATGGAGCCTAGTGATGGAAACTAAAACTGTGACCTTCCATAGCCTACCATACTAGGCTACATAAAAGAAGCGATGTGGGCTAGTGACGTCATTATGAAAGAGAACTTAATGGAAATTCTTCATGATTCTTCATGTGAGTGTATGAGAGATCTTACTAAAAGCTCCAGCTCAGAAGAAGTGAAAGCAAGAAAGAAAGAAAGAAAGAAAAGAAAGAAAGAAAGAAAGAAAGAAGAAAGAAAGAAAGAAAGAAAGAAAGAAAGAAAGAAAAGAAAGAAAAAGAAAGAAAGAAAGAAAGAAAGAAAGAAGAAAGAAAGAAAGAAAAGAAAGAAAGAAAGAAAAGAAAGAAAGAAAGAAAGAAAATAGAGAAAGAAAGAAAGAAAGAAAGAAAAAGAAAGAAAGAAAGAAAGAAGAAGAAAGAAAAGAAAGAAAGAAAGAAGAAAGAAAGAAAGAAAGAAAGAAAGAAAGAAAGAAAGAAAGAAAGAAAGAAAGAAAGAAAGAAAGAAAGACAGACAGAAAGACAGAAAGAAAGAAAGACTAAAGGAGCAAGAGCTAACAAATAAATAGTTCAACAGCAGTCAAACAACAGGAAGTACGCGTAGCTGGACGAACACTGTGGACCAACAACCGGACTATGATAGCAGACCTAGACTTGCCAGAAAGGACACAATAATAAACAGACAGGAGCTCAAAGCCCGCGCTGACTATATTTTTAGGGAATAATACCGAATCTTTTTTCTTTGAAAGATGCCAAAACACACGGCACAAAGGTGCCAAATTGTTAAGTTTTTAATTTTTTTTAAAAATACAGTTAAAACGTGTTTTGAAGGAGGAAAAAATATATAACTTGTTCACGTTATATCTGACCATATTTGTCTGGTATATCATTGCTGTACAATTTTTGTTTCCTTCAGTTATACAGCCACTGTGGCCTCTTCCATTTGGTGCAATCAATGTTCTGGAGCAATAACTTTGACCTCTTCAATGAATTTATTGTTAAAGCAACAAAAAAAGTGATCTTTTTTATCTTAATACTGGTAATAGGCACTATAAAATGTGCAGACCATCGCACAATAAGTCTTATGAGTCACATGACTAAGATTTTCTTGAGAATAATTTATGAGAAGAATAAGAAACAAAATTAAACCTGAAATCAGCGATGAACAATGTGGATTTGTAGAAGGGAAAGGTACAAACAATGCCATTTACATCCTAAGGACATTGTCAGAAAGAGCTATAGAAGTAAAGACTGATTTGTACATATGCTTCGTAGACTATACAAAAGCATTTGACTGTGTGACGCATGAAGAAGTAATCAAACTGTTAGAAAAATTAAACATTGATGGGAAAGATCTACGAAAAAAAAAAAGAATATGTATTGGCAGCAAACAGCAGCTATAAGAATTAACAACTGTTTAGGTACATTTCAAAGTATAAAGAGGGGCGTAGGACAAGGATGTGTACTGTCACCTGATTTTTCAATATACAGTGAATATATAATGAGAGCTTTAATTGGTATGCCCGGAATTGTGGTTGGTGGGCACAATATAAACAAACTACGTTATGCTGATGACACAGTCTTGATAGTAACAAGTCAGAAAGAACTACAGGAAATGATAGACATTGTGGTGTTAGAAAGTGGAAGAATGGGCCTCAGTTTGAATAATGGGAAGACATAAGTAATGGTGGTATCAAAGAAACGAATTATTCCTAAGTGTGTAATAAAAGTTGATGGTGTTTATTTAGGACAAGTACAGAAATTTAAGTATCTGGGCACATGGATAACATCAGATGGAAAATGCATAACTGAAATAAGAAACAGGATAGGACAGGCAAAAACTGCATTTTATGAAATGACAAAAATTCTTGTGCAATATATCCTTGTCATTGAGAGTTAGAAAAAGAATTCTTGCTTGCTACATACATACAGTTTTAACATATGGCTGTGAATCCTGGACAATCGGTA